CCGTAATAATAACTGCAGATGTTCTGTAAAAAGTGAACGCCGTAGTTTTGCCTATCGGAAATGCCTCGGAAACAGGCTCCGTCAACCGTCGTCGGGGTTTCCGAAAATCCCCGTAGCACAGGAGACACGTCCCCCGGCGGCGGTTGCATAATTCGCCGAGATGTGTTTTCGGTGTAAGGATGGAAAAATAATGAAAACCGAAAAACAAAACACCCTTACGGTTGTTACGCGAAGACGGAAACGGAATGTGCGGGAGACGGATGAGAGACAAAAGCTCGAGGGGCGACTAGAGACGACGAGACGAAATGCGAGGGGAGGAAAAGCCTCGGGAAACGGGAATGACGGCACGAAATAGGAGAATATGAAAACAGGTATTGTGTATGCGGCGTATTTATTGTAATGAAGTTATTTGCATTTCAATAATATCATTATATTATTGAGACTAGAATTATTGAATTATTTGCGAACTCTGTTTTATTAAATATAACAACCGCTGAATACTAAATATCTACGAGCTCGTGTTGACGGAAAACTGAGCCCTGCATAATGGTACACAACCCGTGTATTTTTCTGGCACGGTATTTACTGTCGAACAATAATTCTGAGCCGGACGAATATTGCGGGTCCTACAAATCGCTGGGGGGGCTTCTGATACCCGCGTTATAGTCAAACAAATTGTTTCGATTATTGACACACCGAAATATGTTCCGTATCTATTTTCCGCCGAACCTATTGATAATGAATACCGGACAATTAACAAAACGGCACGGACCGGTGCGTGCGTTTCAAACGAATTCGGTCGTTATCAATAACTAATAACAATTATTACCGACGGGGAGTTTTTTTTTTTTGTTTTCCTATGATTTTATAGAGCTACAACGTCATTCGAACTGCAGCGGTGAAATATGTCCGGCTATATAATTTTTGTTTATTTATTTATTTTAGATTCTGAGTGGCGTGAAGAAGCTTATGGTTTTACAAAGACGTTTTTTTTTTTTTTTTTTTTTATTTCTGTAAGCAACTTTTCTACCAGAAATCTTGCTCCGATTAACAACTATAGCATCTCTTCTGAACGCAAATCGGACTGGGGAAGTACTTCGAGGAGGTCATTTTTTTGATTTTTTTGAACTCCAATGAGTTTTTTACAATAAATGAGAAAATCGGGGGAACGGGAAAACAGGTACAACATTAAACGAATAATATATAATGCCTATGCAATTATTTTACCACATTATGACGTATTATATATGTTGTTGGCAACTATCAACTGAACTCCGTCAGGTCAGGTTATCTGAATCGTTTTTCCATCAGCCGCAACGGTTTATCGTTGCTCACTGCAGATACGCCTACATTGAACATTCCCTCTATCGCCTTCCCGACTTCTCGCCTACAACGGAGTGGCCGCACCCACGTGCGAAACGGCTCGACTTTTTCAAATCGTTTTCACCGGGTTTTCGTTTCCAATCGATTCGACACGAGATTCGCGAACGTATGAGAAATAAAAAAAAAAAAACCACCCTCAAAAATCTCGGGGACCGTCGCGGCCGTCGCCGTGAGCATAGTTCTGCGATTCCGGTGCGGCCGGTAAACCGTCTGTATTCCGCGCCGCCAAAGTTGACCGCGCTATTATTATAGGTGCCGTCCGACGTGCTCGCCCGCCCCGAAAAAGAAAAAGAACTCGCGCGCGGTTATATTATTGCTACACGTGTCCCCTGGGTGTGAACGAGACGCGCGCGCGAGAAACGCATTATATCCGCCGCGCGTTTCCGAACGCGGAAAAGAACGGGAATGAACGACGGCGCGGCGGACGGACGAGAGCGAAAGCGTCGGGGTGGGACGGACGGCACGCGGGAGAACGGGACGCGCGAGCGACGGCGAATGAGGAGATTTCGCGTGTGTACGCGCGCGCGTCGGCGGAGAGAACGGAAAATACGCGAGTCGTATACTACGCACGGCGCGGCGTAATGGTATGTACACACGCGCTCGCCCGCGGTATAGCGGCGGGCGGACGGGCGGCGTAGTGGAAGACGGTGGCGGACGGGCGGCGTAGTGGAAGACGGTGGCGGACGGGCGGCGGAGTGGAAGACGGCGACGGTGTCGGAGAGTCGGCCGAAGGGTCTGACGGCCGGCGGAACGGAAGTTGACGCGGCCGCGCGCGGAGGAGTGGGCGACGTCGGCCTGCGGAGGAGAAGACGGCCGGCGGCGGAGGAGTAGACGGCCGGCGGTGGAGAAGGCGAGGGCGGCGGCACGCAATTCAATTACACGCCGTTAGCTCATTTAGTATTTAACCGGCGACGGCGGTCGTCGGCATGGCAACGGACGCGCGCAGAATCCACCCCGATGGGCCGGACGGGTGGCCAGGGATCGGGCCGTCGCCTATAAAAAGCCAAAGCTGTGCCGACGGACGCTCACTTTACATCGGCCAGCGGAGCCGGTCCAGAAAAGAACCGCAAAGCCCGCGCCAGCACGCCGGCCGACTTCCGAGACGATCGCTGCCGCCACCGCCGCCGTCGCCGCCCGGCGTAAGTATAAAAATATATCACGGTGTTGTAAAAAAAAAAAAAAAAAAAAAAAAAAACAACGATAATTTGTTTATAACTGTTCTTTTTCGAATATCCGGGATGGAAAAATTATCGCGAATA